CAAGGAAGGCATTTTTTAATATTAGAGAGTGACTTTCTTGTCCTGGATACAAATGGCAGCAGGATTGCAAGAGTCAGGGGTAATTAGAAATATATGATGAGAGTAAAAGTTATTAAAGTCCCAGGTCATAGTTAGGTAATTTAATCCCTAAAATATCTTCAATAAATGCAGGAGACAGGTTTGGGGAAGAAATTTAACATTAAATGGAAAAAAAAATCAAATATAATAGCAAAAAATTTCTCCAATGATAATAGGAAAAAAACAAATCCTCAGTGAAATTAGCAGCAAGTAGTAATTATGTTATAAGGATCTTAATGTCTTGGATTTCTATTTCCTGCAGAGTGAGTTTCAGGTAGTGCCATCATTTACAAAAGTTTTGCTTAGAGATTTGGAACTCTTCAGTGGTGTGTCTGCATACCTGTGAGGAATGTTGCCTCCAGAAAAGTAAGTTGGTACAGATCAGCAGAGGAGTATGGGGCTAGGGGTCTGGGGGTGAAAGGCCAGTGATGCTTTGCTAGCTAAGCTCAGTCCCATTAGGTAGCCTCCCTTGGCATTGTCGCTGTCTGCGGGGCAGCTGTTCCATGTCCTGAAGGTGCTGCACGTCTCTGCCATCTCAGGAGTTGTCAGCACTTTTGCAGTCAGGCCTTGTGTAATGCCATTTGTTTTAATTTAATTTTACTCACTTTTAAGGTGATTTTAGTAGTTAAGGTAACTTAACTACTTGTGTCCAGTGTCAGTTTCTGCTTCATTTTTTTGCCATAGGCTTTTTGTCCTTTCAAAGTTTGAGAGCTGGCAAAATGTTGCACTGGAGACCTGAGATTAGGACCAGTCTTAAGTGTTAAAGACTCAGCCCTTCAATGGAACATTTGTGGACACTTCACACTCCCTGACTATAGTGATAGGGCTGACAGAGTATCTCATGTGCTCTTCCCTAGAAGTGTGGAAGGCTGATGACGAGATGGAGGGGGACCACAAAAACCCAGATGAGCCAGCGAGGCAATTTATAATCTTCAAGAACCAGACACCAATTGAGGAAAGAGGTACTCTTTCTGAACAGGCATTTAACTTAGGTACAGACTTTGTTTCTTTAAGACAAGTGCCCTATAAATACGATTTATATGAAAAGTCTTTGAAATATAATTCAGACTTACTTGATAGTAGAAGCTATATAAGAAAGCCAGCTGACGAGTGTAATGGATTTGGAAAAGCGCTCCTTTATCTGAAGCAAGAAAAAATCCATGCTGGAGTGGAATACTCTGAATATGGTAAGAGTGGAAAAGCCTTCAGCCATAAAGAAGCCATTTTTAAACATCAGAAAATTAGAAATTTGGTACAGCCTTTTATCTGTAATTATTGTGACAAGGCTTTCTCCTTTAAATCTCTCCTTATTAGTCATAAGAGAATACATACTGGAGAAAAACCTTATGAATGTAATGTATGTAAGAAAACCTTCTCCCATAAGGCAAACCTCATTAAACATCAGCGAATTCATACTGGGGAGAAGCCCTTTGAATGTCTTGAATGTGGAAAAGCGTTCACCCACCAGTCAAACCTCATTGTACACCAGAGAGCACATATGGAGAAGAAGCCATATGGATGCAGTGACTGTGGCAAGACATTTGCACAGAAGTTTGAACTTACTACACACCAGAGAATTCATACAGGAGAGCGACCCTATGAGTGTAATGAATGTGCTAAAACCTTCTTCAAAAAATCAAACCTTATTATACATCAGAAAATTCACACAGGGGAGAAGCGCTATGAGTGCAGTGAATGTGGAAAATCCTTTATTCAGAACTCACAACTCATCATACACATGAGAACTCATACAGGAGAGAAACCTTATGAATGCACTGAATGTGGCAAAACATTCAGTCAGAGATCAACTCTCAGATTACACTTGCGAATCCACACAGGAGAGAAACCCTATGAGTGTTCTGAATGTGGGAAGGCCTTCAGCAGGAAGTCCCGTCTCAGTGTCCATCAAAGAGTTCATATGGTGGAGAAACCCTGAGGCTGGAGCCAGGTTGTACTGTGGAAAGCCCTTCCTGTGGGGAAGAGGCCTCGCGAAGGTGCTGACGGCCGTGAGAGTTCATGCTGAGCACAGTCTGTCAACTCAAAAGGCATGGAAGTTGAGTCTTCGAGGAATATCAACTGAAGGTTAGACAGGACACCTGCGTAAAGAACATATCAGAAAATAACTGTAAATAGACAGTGAGTGTGTTAAAAATCTTAGGTATTCAGGAGTGAAACATTTGGGGCAATAGCATTGAGTGTGTGCAGGTGGTACCTGAGGAATGAGTAACCACATTTGTTGTGATGCCACAAAACTTAAATTATATTTTAGATTTGCACGTGCAAATGTAACATGGTCACTGGGAGTCTGAAATGCTCCCTTTGTGGTGATTAGGACACATTAAGCAGGATTTCCATAATATGCATTATCACATTTTCTGGCACCTTTACAATCCATTGTGTATCACAAATGAAGTAGCTGACAGATTTTTAAAGTAGCATGGAACATATGTTTTTCCCTAATGCTTGCTGGCGTATATAAGTTGGTATGGCTGTTGTTAGTGAACTGCGTTTCAATAAGTAGAAGACAGTTTTTTGAAGTTTTTACTGGTTCTTGAGCTTACTGAAGATTTTTCTAGAAACACCACATAAATATGCAAGTTTAAATAGTTGTGAGGTTTTAGAGTGTAAGGAGGCCGCCGGGGTGGTATTATTCAGTGTGCAATACAGAATAAAAACAGGCTGTCTAGAGAGCACCCACCCATCATGCTCTTGTTTGTCAGTGGGGTATTTACATACATGTGCATGTCTTTTACCAAAATATTGTGTAATTCAAAGTACTTGCATTTTTGTGTGTGTTTCTTTGAATATTTTATAAATTGTCTTAAAATGTAGGATGCGTATATAGTTCCCAATTGCTACTTTCAGGAGCTTTAAAGAAAAAATATTTTCAGAAACTCAGTAAATATCTGATTGAATTTTGAAAAAGCCCATGTTTGTACCCTGCTTTAGAAATAATTTTTTTTGCAGCTTTTTTTTTTTTTTAAAAGAAGGCAAATTTATTATCTAGAGCTTCACCAGCCCCAGTCAAAACATTTCTCTTGGAACTATTATTTGAGTTACTGCTTTTCCGTTAAAAGTTTACTCTTTATAACAGACTTTTCAGTGATCCATCCATATAGTGTTTATAGATTAACTGACAAAACAAATTTTTACATAAAGATAGGCAGTTTGAAGCGTTATCAAATCCTCAATTTCCACCTTTCCCTATGCTTCACTAATCATACATTAAAATTATGAATGGCAACCATAACTGGCTTATTTTCCTTTGTTAATCTTTAAGACCATTGATATACTGTGACAATGTATGATGATAAATCTCTCACAACTGGAAAACTATGACTAAGGTAAAAGTCAAAAGATCAATGCATGTTGTGTTTTTTGCAGGAACCAAAACAAACAAACAAACAAAAAAACAGTGAGAAAAAAAGAATGATCATCAAAGGGGACTGATTGAAAACATACCTTGAAGGATAGTGTTCGTGGAAACTCTGTAGAAGCATACTCCTCCAGGTCAGAGGGGAAACAGTATGGAGGACGGGAGGGAGAAAAAGGACAGGAGTGAGGAAACAGGAAAGAGAGAGAGAAGACAGACATAGGTGAAGAACAACAAGAGGAGGGAATACAGCCGTAAAGATGAGTGAGAAGGAATAGACAGGAGACACAGGAGTGAAGTGAGTTAAGACAGCAACAAGGAGTGTAGAGACAGTGAGCACTATAGACAGGAGAATATAGAGAGGAGAGAGGATGGAGACAGGGAAATTAAGGGACACAGAGAAGTTAAAGTTATATGGAGAGAGGAGACAGGAGAGGAAGAGAGATGGGAAATATAGGAGAGAGAGAAAAATAACAGTGAGACAAAAGAGGGAAGGAGTGATGGAAGGAGCATAGGGAAAGAAACAGAAGAAAGGAGAGAGCTAGAGATCGAGGGAGAGCAAGTCAGAGACTAGAGCGAGGGGAGAAGAGCAGGAGAAGGCACAGACTGAAGAAATAGACAAGGGGGAGGTGGGAGGAGGAGGTATGAGAGAGAGGATAGGTGGGAGAATGGGAGACATGGGAAATACAGAGAAGAGAACTAGGAGAGAGATGGAGAGGGCAGAGACAGGAGGGAAAGCAGTGATTTGGGACAGAGGGAGGAGAGAGATTGAAGGAAGAGGAAGAGAGATGGGAGAGAGAGAGAGATTAGAAGTCGACAGGTGAGGAGTGAGGAGGGAAATAGAGATGGCAGGAAAGCGATGGAAATGATAGGAGTGACAGAGATGGAGAGTTGGGAGAGATGAGAGACTGGGGAGGGAGATGGAAGAGTCGGGAGTGAGGAAGACAAAAGAGATGGAGAGGAGAGATAGGAGTGATGTGGGAGAGAGGGAGAGTGAAAGGAGGGATGAGACATAGGAGGATGAGAGAGATGAGCGATAACGGAGATTTGGGAGAGAGAGCGGGCTGTGAGAAAAGAGATGGAGAGAAGAGATGGGAGAGGAGAGAGGTAGAGAAAAAATGGACGAGTGGGGTGCGTGAGGGGAGAGATAGAGGAGGGGTGATGGAGGAGACAGATGGGGAAGGTTGGAGAGAGCAGAGAGGGAAGAGAGATAGGACAGTTGGGAGAGACAGATGAGAGAGAGGGGGAGAGACAGAAATAGAGAGGCAGAGAGATAGGAAAGACAGACCGAGAGATGAGAGACTGAGAGACAGAGACCGAGAGAGAGAGGAGAGTCAGAGAAAGAGGTTGACAGGGGAGAGAGAAAGAGACAGGAGGAAGAGAGAGACTGAGGCAGAGAGACAGTGGGGAAACAGACAGACAGAAGAGAGTGAGACAGAGAGGAGAGCAAGATAAAGACAGAGACAAGAGGAAGAGACGACAGAGGAGATGATGGGAGATAGAAGAGAGAGAAAGAGAGGGGAGAGAGATAGGAGAGCTACAGAGAGATGGGAGAGAGGAGAGAGACAGTAGAGAGACACAGAGGGACAGACAGAAGAGAGATAAGGATGGAGAGAGACAGGAGAGATATGGGAGAGAGGAAAGAGATAGTAGAGAGACAGTAGAGACAGGCAGTAGGGAGACAGACAGTATGGAGAGAGTAGAAAGAGACAGTAGAGGTAGATTAGGCAGTGGAGAGACAGTAGAGACAGTAGACAGAGACAGTGGAGATAGACAGTGGAGACAGTAGAGAGACAGTGGAGATAGACAGTAGAGACAGACAGTGGAAAAGGTAAAGAGACAGTGGAGATAGAAGAGACAGTAGAGATAGTGACAGAGGGAGAGAATTAAGAGATAGTAGAGAGACGGTAGGGAGAGATAGTAGGGAGAGAGTAGAGATAGAGACAATTGAGGGAGAGACAGTGGATACAGTAGACAGTGGAGATAGTAGAGACAGTGGACACAGAGACTGTAGAGTGGAGAGATAGTAGGGAGAGAGGTAGGGAGAGTGATAAGAGACAGTAGAGATAGAAGGGAGACAGTAGGGAGAGATAAGGGACAGTAGAGAGAGAGTAGAGACAGCAGGGAGAGATAAAAGACAGCAGAGATAGTAGAGAGACAGTAGGGAGAGAGATAAGAGACAGCAGAGATAGTAGAGAGACAGTAGGGAGAGAGATAAGAGATAATAGACAATGAGAT